TGTCTTCTTTTGTCTCCCGGCCTTAACGCCGTCTCTGTCTGTCTGTCCACCCTCCCCTCCCCACGACTCATTACCCTAACGAACTGGACTCCCCCCCTCCCCCTCCCAGAGAGGTCTGAAGTCTCCACCAACTTGATATTTCAGTAGCGTCAGTCTACAGTCACTACTGTGTCCATCACCTGTTTTATACTGCTGTTCTGGGAAATATTTATTGGTGTTGCGATGCGGTGAAATCAGGCGGTGGTCAAGTTTGGGGCATATTCAGTTATTGGTATAATCTTAAAGCTTGTACATTTTTCTTGCATTCTATGAAAAAAAAATACCCATCTATCTTATATAGAAATCGAGATATTTCCAATTGAAGAAAGTAGGGACCGTTTAGTTTCAGAAGTAAAATTAGCGAGAAAATGGCCGCCAAAGTTTGGTAACTTCCATAGTCTGAGAGTCCATGGAAAATATCAAATTATGTGTTAAAACAAGGGGGCATGAACCCTTGTAAACCCCCCCCCCGATTTTTTTAAAAACTTGGACCAGAGGCACAAAGCATTTTGACTGGTATATCTCAGTCGGACACGTCTCCGGATAGATACTGTGGTACAGCGAGATCTCCCGAGGTCCAGACTGAGGGCTTCACATCCGGTCACATGGACGAGTGAGGTATGACGTCACGTCTCTGCCCGGATAGCCCGGAAAAGACACGATCATCCGGAGGGAGGGTGGGATTCTTCCTAGATGGTTCTTCGTGGGTGGTTGGTGGGCGCTCTAGTGTGGTTTGTTCTTTCTTTCCAATCATACAATAATCATCATCCTTATCTCTCTTCCTTCATTTCGCTTTTCATTACTCCCAAGGAACACCTCCATTCTTGGGCACTTATTTCACCTGTCTTAGTTGCAAGTATCGTAAATTCTTACCACAACTAAAAACTGGGGGATTCTTTCTTACTTGCTGGCAAAGAAAATGAGTTAGACAAAACGACAATTTCCCCCATCCTCCAACCCCTACCAAAAAAGCCCAAACAAAACAAAACTACACCAACAACCCCAAACAAACAAGCAACAACAACAACAACAACAACAACAACAACAGCAAATAAACCAAACTAAAAAAGCCGCCGAGCAGAGCGGGGAGCTATCTGTGTTGCCCTCACGAACACTTTAATGTTCCTTTGTTGTCCGGACCCTGGGACTACCCTGCTCCTTCTCTCCTTCTCTCGCTTCTTTTTTCCCCGCCAAGGTTCCGACACAGGTGTGACAAAAACCGATCTGGAACCAGCTTATCAAATGTCACCGTTGTTGTTTCTCTGCCTGGTTCCTGTCTCTTGTTGTATCTTTTGCTTATCTCTCATATACCCCGGCCTCTTCCGCCCCCACCCCATCACCCCCACCCCCTTCCCTTGCGCTACAG